GTCGACCTGCTCAAGAAGCACCTCCTAGCAGCTGAGACTAGCATAGTCGATGTAGACGCTTCTCGTGGCACTCCTTGCACCCCCTTCTTTGAGGGGTGTTCGCCCTCCCCCCTTCTCCCCTCAGTCGCCTCTGCTGCAGCTGTTGACTACCTTCGAGCTGAGGAGGTAGGAGCTGCGTCTACCCCTAGTGGGAGGCGCCGCAGCGGCAGGGGCAGGGGAGGATGGGGAGGTGGGGTTGGCAGAGGTGGAGGCGGTGGTGAGGGCGGTGGAGGCGGTGGTGGGGGCGGCGGTGGAGGAGGTAGTGGTGGTGGGGGCGGCGGGGCAGGTGGCGGCGGTGGTGGCAGCAGTGGGAGTGGTGGCGGCAGCGGTGGTGGCGGCGGTAGTGGCGGCAGTGAGGGTGGAGGCGGCGGCAGTGGGGGCGGCAGGGGTGGCACCAGCCAGAGGGGAGGCCTTGGAGGTGGCCAGCGGCAGCAGCAGCGTCAACCCCTTTCGTCTCAGGAGCTCCGTGAGTGGTTTGCTCAGCGTGGGGCGGCTGGGGGTAGTGGTCCCTGCCCGTATGTCATTCGCACAGGTGACCGCACAGGTCAGACATGCGGGAGGTCTCACACTCAGCACCGCTGCTTCTACCGCCTTACCGACGCCTTCCGCGCAGAGTTCCCCGACGCGGCTGAGCTCCCCGACTGGGGGGGGCTGCTTAGGCAGAATGTTGATATCTTTGCTCTAGACTTTGATGCTATCCTATCTGCCATGTATGCATTGTCTGTTAGTGCTGAGGGTGACTATTACCTGTGTATGCCGCCAGACCCAGATATAGAGGCTGCTGCTCTAGGTGCTAGTGAGTCTGCTGCCCTTGGTGCTGGTGAGTCTGCTCTCTCTGGTACTGAGTCTGCTGCGGCCCTGCACACCTTCACGCTTGACTCAGGTGCTTCTCGCTGTTTCTTTCGCAACAGTACCACAGTCACACCACTTACTGCACCTGTTGCTATGTCTTTGGCTGACCCCTCTGGGGGCCCAGTCCTTGCACATTCCTCCACTGTTCTGCCCTATCTGGCGGTTCCGTCTGGGTCACTATCAGGTCTCCACCTCCCCTCGTTCTCTACGAACTTGGTGAGCACAGCTGTCCTCCAGGATGCGGGGGTTGACACCTTCACCCCTGGACGGCAGCGTGTGGCGATCTGTACGTGCTCCGTAACACTGTCGCGAATAGTGTAATGCAGAGAAAATTTCAGCGCAACCTCCCTCCCCCCCCCCCTCCCCCCCCAACCCACATCCACACTCGGAACACATGGTGCAGTTTCATGAGACTGCATCTTCACAGTCGATTGATAGTCCCTGAATTTCAGGGTGTCCGTCGTATCGAGCCAGAATCGGTATAGGGCATTTCGAAAGAGAGGGTAGGGGTTTGCAATTATCGCGAATACGGTGTATCTTCCTCACCACGAGAATCTTTCCAGGGATTACAGAAAGGTCTGGTCTACAGTACAACTGCACCGCCAGGTACACAAGATGTCCGTTAGATACCCACAACTTTTCTCGTCATTGGGGTGTTTAGTGAGCAACAACAATTTCGTCTGCTCGCCAACGTTCGCCGCGGGCAAAATCGGGACTGTAGTGGGCAGGTGAAGAAATGTAACCAGCTTCTTCAAAATATCTCACGAACCGACGGATGCCAGCGTGATAAGCTGTATGTTCAACGGCTGCGATCAAAATAGGGGCTTGTATCGTGCGTGCAACTGGCTAGTACCAATTGTAATTGGGCAGGCTGTCTGGATTGAGCAGACCAAATTTGCGTGCAACCGTTGAGCATCCTGTGTAATGAGAACGACCCTTGCTCGGGGCAATGGTCATATGGCTGGCAGCGCCTTGAAGTGTTTCCTGGCCTGATTCCCTCCCAGAACAACCGAACCGACCCCTCCATCGCGAGGCAGAGTTCATCACCGCCCCAGCCAATGCCAGCTCCCCTTTCTCAAGGACCTCACTGTCGCCGTCCGATCGATCCTCAATTTCGTCTCCTGAGGTGTCAGGTTCGCCGTTCGCTTGAGGTCGTCGATTCCCCGACAGCATGGATAAAATCCAGACGATCGCTGCCGATGATCCAACCTAGCATCCAGTTCTGACTGCGAGATGTCGTACACCTATTGGTGATGTTCTCTATGCTGCAATCCCAGAGGTGCCAGCAGGTGCAGTCCATCTTTAGTTCCGTCAGGATGGCCATCTTAGGGGTTTTGTATGTACCAATATTGAGCCCCAACCTGACACAGCGGGCGGTTTTGGTGCTGATGGGGCGCCCCCTTTGTTTTTTGGGTTGACTCAAATGAACCTGAGCTGGCAGCAAGCTCACCGGAGCTACAGTGGTGTGTCAAAATGCGGTGTGTGACATAATCCGCCGCACTGGAGTCCGCAACACGAGAATTGTTGTATAGTGTATACATACAGTGTATTGTTGTTTTCGTAAGTTTTTTTAGCTGGATCCCCACGTGACTAGCTGGATATAGTGTCGCTTCCAGCAGGTTTCTCAAATCCAGACCAGAGTCTGCTCAAATCCTGCAACACGAGGCTTGTCTGTCAACACAGCGTGCTGTGAATGTCTATTTCCAACGAGTAGTGGACAAAGAAGAAGCTACTAGGAGCTTCTGACATTAATGAACGATCATTTCTGTAGTTCGGAGCTATTCGGCGAGACGGAATAGTTCTACACAAAAAGCAACCGCACACTGTTTCGTCGTGTTGTGCAGACGCTGGACCATACGTTCGTTGTTATATCCTTTTGTTTTGCTTTGTATGCTGATATTAGAGCGAGTGGGTGGCCTTCTCGCACGGTCGCACCTCATCGTAGTACTTCGTTTCAGATTGATCTGCGATGAATGTGTGAGCTCGAAGGTTTGCCTTAGTTGTGAAAGTAAACGGTGTTCCTTTTTCAGACAAGGCCTATCTGATGGCACGAAAGATAATTATTCTGCATTTGGTCTCATAAATTAGCTCAAGCTTTCAGATTTGAAGCCTTTCCCCCCCTCTTTTCCTAGTGTTTTTTTTTTTCTTTTTTTGTGGTTGCATTTTTTTTTCTCCCTTAGCTTTCTAATCCAGATTAAGGATGTCTTGAATGACAGAGGGATTAGAATGTGCGACGGATGCGAGGACTCTCCACTTTGTGGAACTATTATGCAGATATTAAACAACTAGCTCAGTCGTACCTAGCAAACTGTTTCTGGTTAAAGCTCGTCATGTCACGAGATGGTTCAAGGGTCCTATACCCCGAGTTGGGCTCGTCTGGAAAGGAGAAAGAGGGGGAAGGGGGAGAGGAGGAGCAGGAGGAAGACAATGGGCAATCAGGGCCGTTGATAAGGCAATATCTACCCCTTCTGGACCTAAATCTTGAAATCGGTGGTCAGGATGAAGGAAGAAATGGACCTGAGGATCAGGATCAAGAAGCAGCGGCAGGAGCAGCAGCAGCAGCAACAGCAGCAGCAGGATCATGGGGAGCAAAACATACTACCTCTTCAGGCCTCGAAAATGACGTAATGGTGCTCTCTGGTGGCCCGTCCAAGGAGCCTTTGCGCCGTGGAGAGTGGAAGTCGCATGAGGAAGCTTCCATGGTTGCATATGCTGCAGCTAGGAGCCATGCTGGTGCTGAATTCATGGGGAAATATGCTTCTGGGCTCGCTTCTGCTGCTCCTGTTGCTGCTGCTGCTGCTGCTGCTCCACGTGCTGCTGCTTCCCCTAATGCCACTGCTTCGGTCACTGCTGCTGGTGCTTCGGTTTTTTCCAGACAGCTCTATGGAGCTATTTCGTTACCCAAGCCACCCTCATCAGTCAGCGCAATTCATGGAGGCTTTGAAAGCACCAATGCAGGCCCTGCTTTCCATAACATCCCAGCACATAGTACCTCGCTGCCAAGCACGGGCATTGGCGGGAATTCTTTGTTTAATCCCGGAGCGGGAACAACAGAACCCCAAGCGGCGAGCAGCATGAGGTCAAAATTCGCCGTCCCAGCAGGCGCAGCTGCGGCTGCTGGATCCGTTGCTACCAGTGACAGTGGTGGCAGGGGTGTTTCGGTTTCTGCTTCTGCTGCTTCAGCGTCCGCTGCGGCTTCTGCAGGAGCTGGTGGTGGTGCTGCTGCTGCTGGTGCTGCTGCAGGTGCCGGTGCTGCGAAGAACACAACAGTGGTGATGCAAGAGGCAGGGAGGTCCCCAATACATGATCCCTTGCAGTCTGGTTACCGCCATCCCTTTGCACGCTCTCACCATGCAGAGCAGGCTGGGGAATTTGAAATGACTCGGCCTAAGGGTCCTATATCTACTCTTGTACTTGGGCTTGAGTCGGCTCAGGTTCCGGGGCTTGAATCGACTCAGGTTGGGGGTCTTGGGTCGGCTAAAGTTCGGGGTCTTGGGTCGGCTAAAGTTCGGGGTCTTGGGTCGGCTAAAGTTCGGGGTCTTGGGTCGGCTAAAGTTCGGGGTCTTGGGTCGGCTAAAGTTCGGGGTCTTGAGCCCTCTAAGGCTCGGTATTTGGAGGTGAATCCAAAATCAAGGGAAGCGGCTACGCACAGTGGTAAGAGTCTCAGTGGTGGTGATGACGTGGCGATGATGTCACCACCGAAGCGCACGCGACACATGGCAGCGCCTGATTTTTCGGGCTCGGGACGACTCTCAGGTGGCTCGTCTTGTGCTGCTGTCCGTTTTCCTGCTGCCCCTGCGAGAAAGAAGACCAGCGCAACATTTGTCAGCGGACCTGTAGCTAGAAGTTCTGTGAAACGTGATGCCAGAAGTGCTGCCACCACTGCTGCAACCCCTGCTGCCACCATCACCACCACCACCTCCCTCCCCCTTTCGCCTTCCCCGTCCGCCCCCCTCGTCCTCTCCCCCTCCTCCTCCGCACCCCCCTCCTCCGCATCCGCACCTCTCTCATCTCTCCCTCCTGCTCTCCCACCTCCCCTTCCTTCCTCCTCTTCCGCCCCCTCCTCCTCCACTCCCTCCTCCTCCCAGTCCCCATCCCTGACCCCTGGAATGAGCCGGCTTTTAGCTAAGTGGTTGCGGTCTGACGGCCAGGGCCCTCACTACTGTGCGCTATGCAAGCAGAGCTTCCCCACCGCCGCTACTCTCGACCAACACCGGCGCGACAAGTGGCGATGCTCTCAGGCCACTGAATCTGCTGTGCTGGCAGCGAATGCTGCACATACTGCCCATGCCGCTGACGCTGCTGCACACTCTGCCGTTGCTGCACGGTCTGCCATTGCTGCGCGTTCAGCAATACTCTCTGTCTCTGCTCCTACCGCTCGTGCCTTTGGCGCTCCAGACTGTTCCGAAACTGCTAGAACGACCCACGCTGCTGCCGGGTCAGTCACTGCAGCAACTACCAGCACTATTGAAGCTGCTGCTCTGGCACATCAAGCCTCTCGTGCTGGTACTGAAGCTGCTGTGCTTGGCTCATCTGCTGCTGGTGGTGAGGGGCGGTGTAGTAAGAAGCTGAGAGGAGAGGGGACCTTGGGGCCTGCTCAGGTGCCTTCAGCTGCAGTAGTGCTTGGCTCGGCTGCTGCTGGTGCTGCTGCTGCTGGTGCTGGTGCTGCTGCTGGTGCTGCTGCTGCTGGTGCTGGTGTTGCTGGTGCTGGTGTTGCTGGTGCTGGTGGTGCTGGTGAGAGAAGGCGTAGTGAGACGCTGCGAGGAGAGGGGTCCTTTGCGCCTGGTCAGGTGAATTCGACAGCAGCAGTTGCGGCTGCTGCAGCACTGGCGGCGGTGGCTGCACTGGCAGCAGGGAGAGGAGGAAGAGGAGGAGGAGGGGTGGGTGGAGGCGGAAGGGAGGAGGGAGGGGGAGGGGGAGGGAGAGGGAGAGGAGGAGGGGGAAGGGGAGGGGGAGGGGGAGGGGAAGCATCAGCACTCTCAATAGCAGCATTTGCAGCTGCTACAGCTGCTGCGGCGGCGGCTGCTAGAAGGGTAGGCGAGCAGGCAGGGGGGGGCATGGGAGAAGTGAGAGGGGAGGGGTTCGGAAAGGTGTGGAGAGGGTTAGAAGGGGCGAGGTTTGGGAGAGGGTGGGAAGGATTGGGAGAGGAGAGGCAGGCGGTAGGTAGGAGTGACTCCAGAGGCAGTGATTCCTTCTGGCACCAACTCTCAGCAAGAGAACACTCAGGAGCAGGAGCAAATGTGAATATAAAGCGAGAATGCGACTCTGCCCGCCTACCTGCCCCCAGCACTGGGATTGCAGCTGGCAGGGAAGAAGACCAAACGAGCTCTGCAAGTGCTGCTTCTCCTCCAAGTCTCACCACTCAACCACCTGTATCATCGCTCAACGCTCTTAACACACTCACGTTATCACTGCTGGATGCCGAATCGCTCATCCCCAGGCTTCCTTCTGTCACACCCTCCACCATCCTTGCCGCCCATCTCCTCTCTTTGGCGTCACACCAGACAACTGCTGCCGCCCGGCGCCTCCAACAGCCAGCAGCAGGATCCGAGACATCACAAATCACAGCTGCTGCTATTCAGCAATACAAACAGCTATTAGCAGCTGCTGCTACTGAGCGCCAAATCCCTTCCATATCTTCTCCTTCCACACATTCCCCCCACACGGCCCTTCGCTTTGACCTCCTGCGATCTCTACTAGATCTAAACGCATCTCGTCCGTCCCTTTCTTCCGAACCTTCACACACTGCAGGTTCGGAACGGCACGTTCCAACCCAGATGCCTTCTGAACCTGATCATAACTTGGCACAAAGAAGCATTCCGGACTTACAGCTGCGGGGGCAGGAGATTTCCCAGGCTGTTCTGCTGGCGCTTCTGGCGCAGGTGAAGTCTCAGGAGATTTCCCAGGGCCGTGAGGCCTCTCATGAGAAGCACAACCAGCAGCAGCAGCAGCAGCAGCAGCAGCAGCAACAACAAGAACAACAAATTCAGCAGCATGTGAAGCAGCATCACATGGGTCCTTCTATTGGTCATGCTATGGGATGTCCTATGGGACACCCTTTGGGTGATCCCACACAGTTGCCCAATGAGTCACAGCGAGCTGCCCTGAGGAGAAGTGCGAGTGTGGGGGGAGAGGACCAGAATTATGGCCGTGCTGGTATGATTGGTGATTCAGATGATGCATCTGCGGGAGAGCAGCATAAGCTGGGCCCTTCTATTGGTTATCTTATGGGTTATCGTCTGGTTGATCCCTCACATATGCACGAGGAGTCACAGGAAGCTGCCCTGAGGAGAGGTGCAAGTGTGGGGGGAGGGGACTGTAGGGATGGCCGTGCCGGTGTGTCTGCTGCGGCTGCTACGAGTGATGCTGGTATGGATGGTATGGGTGGTGTGGGTGGCATGGATGGTCGGGATGGTGGGGATTGGGTGGATGGTGGGGATGGTGGGGATGGTGTGGCTGGTACACATGCTATGGAGGCTCGTGTTGGCATGGCTGGTCGTTCTGCTATGGCTGCTGTGGTAGGTGCAGGTGGCTCTGGGCGAGTGAGCACGGGAGCTAATGTGGGAAGCGGTAGTGTGGGGAGCGGTGGAGTGGGAAGCGGTGGTGTTGGGAGTGGTGGAGTGGGGAGCGGAGGTGTGGGGAGTGGAGGCGTGGGCAGCGGTGGTGTGCAAAGGGATAGAGTGGCGATCAACTTAATGTGGGGCAGGAGTGCCACTAATGGGAGTGACAGCATTGAATGGCGGGATGCTGTTCTTGAGGGTAGAGCCCTTGAGGGTGGAGCTTCGGCGGGTGCAGCTTCGGGGAGTGCAGCTTCGGGAATTGGAGCTTCGGGGAGTGGATTCCTGGGAGGTGGAGCTGTAGATGGGGGGCCTTTGCAGTCCGGCGCTGCTGCTGGCGCAGGCAGCAGCCCTCACGGATGGCACACGGCCCCGTCCGGGCCGTCCCCCAGGAAACGCCCCAGGGATGTTGCAGGCATGTCGGACGACCGGCTAGGTGCGGTTCCCTTGGGGGGGAGTGCCACAGGGTTTGTTCCCACTGCTCGTGCTGCCACAGTGAAGCAGGAGGGGGCGGTGGCAGGGGCAGGGCTATGGGAGAGTGGATCAAGCCAGCAGCACCCGGCGCCTGCACCGCTGTCCCCCTTAATTCCATCTGCACACCCTGCTGGTGGTGGTGCAGCGGAAGGGAAACAGGAGCAGGAGGAGGCAGCAGCAGGGCTAAGAGAGAGTGGACTGATCCAGCAGCACCAGGCACAAGCGCCACTGCCCTCCTTGCTTCGTCCACAGGCACAGGCACAGGCACAGGCACAGGCACAGGTTCAATTGACAGGCCCTAGCAGTGCTGGCACTCGTGCGGGTGCAGAAATGCAGCAGGAGCAGGGGGGTTCAGGGGAAAGCCCACGGGGCATTGGAAATTTCCAGCAGCAGCAGCAGCAGCAGCAGAAGCCGATGTCGCCCCCAACCATTGAGAGCGGGAGAGGTCAGTGGAACCCAGTGGCGCTCTTGTCCCCTGAGAGTGCTAAGAGTCACCACTGGCAGCAACAACTTTCTTTTTCCCCTAAGAGTGGGAATTATTACCAGCAGCACCAGCCGTCACGTTCTCCTGAAAGTGAGTGTGAAAAGGGCTTCCGGTACCAGCCGTCGTTCTCGCCTGACTTGAGCTCTTTCCAGCGCATCTCCCTCGTCAGCCCGCCTCGCTCCTCCGCCATTCCCCCTCCCCCCTCCAGTTCTCCCCCTTCCAACACTCCTCACCCGAACGTGCTACCCCCTTCCACCATGCCTCCCACTTCCGCCATGTCTCCCCCTTCCACCATGCCTCCTGGCTCCCTTGTGCCTCCTCCCTCTGACGTCCCTCCTCTGTCTGACATCCCACCTGCTCCCAACATCCTTGCAGCCAATAGCACAAGCTCTCCTTTGCTAGAGCCTCCGCATTTCCAGCCCCCACCAACTCTTCCTCCTTCTCTTCCTCATCCTCCTCCTCTTCGTCACAGTTCCCCTTCACATATTTTCACACCAGTCCATTGGCCCCCTTTCACCCCTCATCGCCCTTCTAATTTCAATGTAAAGCAAGAACCAGTACGGGATGTGCTTATAATGGGGACAGATGCGGTACCAGTGAGTCTGAAAGAAGGAAACCATTTGGGGGTTCGTTCTTTAGGGGGCGTTATGTCAGAGGCTTCTGTTGCTGGCGCCAGAAGCAAAAACGCGGGCACAGAAGCAGCGCCAGCAGGCGCAGCAAGTGCTGCAGGAGCAGCAGGAGAAGAATGGAAGAACACAGGAGCCGCTGCAGGAGGTCCAGGGGCACTTGCAAGAGCAGCAGCAGATTCAGCAGCAGTAGCTGTGGGACGAAACGCAGAAGCAGGGGTGGGTGACACAGCCAAGGAAGGGCGTTCTCCACTCCAAGACTACAGGTTGTCGGACTTTAGCGAGTCTCACTCTACATCGGTGCTGCTTTGGGGCGTGGATCTCAGCCGTGATACCTAAAATACCAGCCGTAAGACCAACCAGTGAAGAAAGAATCTAATGCCTAGGATGGAACAAGGCAACGGTCATTTATAAAAACGTGTGGATTCTTGTGTAGAAGGGATTCTTGTGTAGAAGGGATTCTTGTCAAATAGCAACAATCTGTGACCAGCTTACAAATATTCATAATAATATACAAGGTTAGTGTGCACAAAATATACAGACACTACCACTAGGCATGTAAGCAGCGCCAACAGGCGCTGCAAGAGCTGCTGGAGCAGCTGGGGAAGAATGGAAGAACACCGGAGATGCTGCAGGAGGAGCAGCGATTCCAACTACACGCGTAAATTCTTGTTTACGAGTACTTGACTCGCTCAATAGCAAAACAAAATTGCCACCAGCCTACAGATGTTCGTAATAATGTACAAGGTTTGTGTGCTCCAGAAATACTGAGAATATTGTTCGAAACTGTTCAGAGTTCTTTATGCATATCAAAGATTATAGGCATGTCTAGTATGTCCATACATGGTGAGTTAGTGTATACAGGGTGAACTAACACGTGCGTCAAAACAGAAGGATTTACACCCTGTTTCGCGCCACACTGACATTCGCTGTATTGACATGCCGCTTATGCTGACATCAACGCGTCCAAAACGGTCCCAGAACATAGCATATAAGCACAATTTACCGCAATAAACCGTACGCGTTAGCATTGTTTCTTTCATAAACCGTTGTGTATCGTTCTACTGTACTGCATTTGCCCGCCACCTACCTGGGGTTCGGTTGCAAGAACCAGCCCGCAAAATCCAAGCACACGTTCTCTACATTATTTGGTGGAAAGGTGTTCTACATCATTGAAGTTCTCTGCTGGGCGGTTGAATTTCGAGTCCATAAACCCTGGCTTGCCAGGCATAAACCAGATCCAATCCAACAGCTGCTACAGTAGAAATCGCAAGGGTGGATATGCCAGGTGGCATAAAATCCGCACTGCCAACATCCAGCTCTTGACTAACGAACCGCCTCCCATGCCAGACTTGGAAACAGGTGGATGTCGAGCTGGAGTGCCCCATCCCAGTCAACGCCAGTTTGGCCCTGCGACGAAAACCTGGAAGCAGAGAAGAAGCTTCTCGACGTTGACTCACATACAGTACCTTTTCCCAGAATGATCTCCGCCAAGAACTGAAACTTTTACGTTGCCACAACTATTTCCAAGGGTAGAATAAGGTTGTTAAAAATTCTGCTGGTAAATATAATAACCCCAAACCTTGAATAGTCATAATTATTATCACATTGAGAAGGACTTAGTTTTTGGACGATTGAAACCATAAAATAACAAACTCGCCAGCAAAAACCAAGTACAACAAATCGAGTTATGAGTCGTGCACACGACCAGGTTGGGGTATGTTTGAAAAGAGTATGTGTATGAGGCAGACTTCTTGATAAATTTTAGATTATTTTTTTATCGTAAGAGTACTTGCAAGGGTTAACAAAAAACAGTATGGTATTTTTTTATCAATGTCATTCCTACAAATCTACTGGTGTAGATGAGTCTGTAGTTAGGAGTAGAGATAAAGTTTCGGAGTGTCCGGCGTAGGTCTAGTATATAATCCCCTTCAGGTTGGCGCAAGTTATGTGCGTTTTGGCTTGCAACGTAGGAGAGGTCTAGTCGGCATGTGACAGCATTGGTGGTGAAGTAAGCGAGACGATATAGGTCGTACATGCTGGTAACTTCGACAATATCGTCGTCTCTGTCGTTGCCGCGGTGGATGGTGTCTTGCGACGGGTCCAGTGGTGGTAACTCGGCATCCGAAGATCAGCGCGCTATGCTGGTGTAGTTGTGGGCTTCAAGAAATTGTATCGTCTGGATCGAATTGTGAAACAGGTTTGAATGTTGGAGTCTAGAATGGGCTTGTAAGGGGGATGTTCGGATAGCGTTCGTTGGCTCAAACGTCTGGTATTACAGCAATTAACTAACTAGAGATCGAGCACATGCTAATAGAGGAATTTATTTGGCTGGGCTTCGCTTCTTGATAGCCTGGAACAGGGTTACCATATCAGCCCAGTTCACATCGTCGGTTGGAAGAAGAACAGCTGTCATGAGATCGCCTAGTCGTGCATCGCCGATGCTTGTCTTGCCCCATGTCTTCATGCGGTTCTGACGATTGAATCCGCGCTCGCACTCCACGGTGCTGAGAGGGAGCGCGACTACTGCTTGCCACAGCTGTACCACGAAGGGTTCGGCACCAGCGTAGTTACAGGTGCGGAACATGAGGGTGAGCGATTTGAAGAAGCTCAGGTTCGCATGGTTAAGGTTCATCGTATGCAGAAACAGATGGAGGTCCCTCTTGCGCGTTTTGGAGCAACACCTTATGGAAACGTGGGTACGTGTCGGGGGGGGGGGGGGGGTCTTGGTGGGTTAAATAAAACATGCCCCCAAATAGTAGCAAGCGCAATGTATACACACATATATGTGTGTAACGTTAATTTTAACATGTCTCGAACGTGAGTACGTGGGGGGAGGGTATTGATGGGTTAAACAAAACATGTCGCAAAACAATAACAAATGCACATATCAAAGAGACAAGACTGGAACAATTGTTGAGTTGCCCCAGCCACTCACAGCACTTCCTCATCCTCTTGGTGTTCTCTTCGGATACATTGTAGGGCGGTACAACTTCGAGCCGCCCAGGTTCTCCATATCTTCGAGTTTGTACTCGAGCCGACCAATAAATTTTTACGCATGGCTGCTCAGCGTCAAGCTCCACCGTGGATCTAGTGCCATGATGATACCTTGTCGGGTGAGCTACCTGCCCTCGAGCATCATGCTACTCTTGCTACTGAGCCCACGCTGGAGGAGCGGGAGGCTTACCGCATGGCTTGACTTGACTACACAGTTTGGGAGTCACGTGACGATGCTGCGCGCCTTATTCATAGTCGCATCCTGCCGTCGGCCGAGTGAGTGCACTTACGCATGTTGAGACGAAGAAGACGTATTTTTATGCTTTTGTTGCCCATTACTCCACCCCCTCCTCTGCTACTCTTGGGCGCCTCCTCATGCCCTTTGTCTTCCATAGTTTCCCTGCTTTCTCCACTGTCGTTGACCTCACTAACTTCGTGCGCTCTCTTGACGCTAGCTTCCACGATGCCTGCACTGCTGACAACCTTGCTGAGCACGCCACCCCTATGTATGCCACCCTGCCATTCCTAGTGACGTGTCTCTCTGACCGCGTTGTGCCTGCCCGCGATGCCCTCCTCACCATGCACCCCATGTGCCTAACTATCGATCTCTTACAGACTCTTTTCAGTGAAATCAAGACCCACCTTCGGACTATCGCCTCCACCACTGGTGCGGTAGTGCCCAACATCTTTGAGGGGTGCGCTCTCCCTTCATTTTACTACCCCAACTGCCTTTGTTGTTGTTGTTGAGCCCACGGCTACGGGGGAGGTCCCAGCTGTTTCTTCCACCTATGATGGGTAGGGAGGGCGCAGGGGTGGTCATGGTCATGGAGGAGGTGGAGGTGCTAGTGTGTTGGGGGGTACACATGCATTTGAGGGTACTAGCTCTGCATTTGGTGGCCCTAGTGGTGGCAGTGCCAACGCAGGTGCGACGATGACTCCGCAGCAGCAGCTCCAACTGTAGGTCTCCCAACGATAGTGGGGACCTGCTGGCCTGGGGAGCGATGGCCGAGATGGCGGATCTAACTGCCGGGCGTCGCGTGGCCTCTCCCCCGGGCCCTGCCAGTGAGAGATTCAGTCTGGTCCACCATGCGGCACCGTCTGCGGGCGCACCGCTCACACCATTGCGCACATCTTCCGCCAGCTCGACGACCTCTTCCGCGCCGACTTTGAGTCTACGCTGCCCCACTCATACCTACCTGTTAGTGTTAGCCTTCAATCTCACACTTTGTACTTTGTATTTTCTATATCCTAGAGTAGTGTAGTTTGCACATTGTGTTTGGTTGGGTGTACACCTACATCCCAACCAAACCCAAATGTAATCTCCAAGCAATCTCCAACCCACCAATTGGAGATTGCCTTGGGATTACCCCCAATCCCTAGGGATTGCCTCTGATTTCCTTCCCCAACTATTCCTTACCCTTCTTGGATGTACTTAAAGAGCTTCAAGCTCATTACTAATGCATCGCTTCTAAGCCTAAGTTTTGACATGGTATCAGAGCTCTACATCCGCACATGCGGATCGTGATCCTCCTATCTATGCGGATGTTCTTCCCGCAAACCTCGGCATAGCCTCCTTCAATCTCGTCGCCGTCGATTCGCGACATTCGTGGGCGGAAATTCCCCCGCACCACTTTCCCGTCAACTTCGACGACATCTTCAATCTCTATGGTACGCTCATCGACGTCGCTCTAACTTATCGTTCCTTTTTCGTCATCTCTCAATTTCTTCACCGCGTCACCTCTTCTCGTCGGGCCGCCGCCCGTCGCCCCGCAGCTTCCCGTCGGGCCGCCGCCCGTCGCCCCGCTGCTTCTCGTCGGGCCGCCGCCCGCCGCCCCGCATCTGCACTTCTACCCCCATTCCCCTTCTCCCGCAGCTGAACAGGTGCAGCAGCGCAGCCGAGCAGCAGTGCAGCAGCTCAGCCGAGCAGCAGAGTAGCCGCGAAGCTGTGCAGCAGCGTAGCCGCGAAGCTGAGGGTGGTGTGTGGGGGGGTGTGTGGGATTAGGGTTAGATCCACGGAAGTCGGCCGATTTTACCTAGTTTTAACGGCCTAGAAAATCCTTCTACGAGGCATCCCGACGCGGTCGACATTGACGATTTTCGCTATTTGGGGTTCGTCGGATTTCGAAGTTCCTATCGGTGACTTAAGAGCGGCGCTTCGCGCGAGACACCAAGGGATCTCTAGCATGGCCTTCACCGCGTCCACCATGGCCAACCCCATCACCCCACTCTGTCTTGAAGCCGATGGCTCTAGCTCCAACTTCAAGGCATGGAGCTATGGGGTTGACAAGCACCTGCTGAGCCGTGACGTGCAGGGATTGGACCTCAAGGATGTCCTCCTCAAC